ACATACCCTTGCTGAGATACCGATTGTTTCTTATAACAAATAAAGTATGTCCGTTGTAGGTATATAACACGTCTCTGTCTTTCTTATAATCACTATGTGTTGTACGAAGATGTGTTTCGGTTTCCCATGCTCGTGTGACCTCCTGGTGGTCGCGGGTCGAGGTTTTGGCGGCAGGTGCATTGACCGAGGCTCTGGGGCTTCCTTGGGCAGGTGTTTATGGGATCATGACCATTCCTATCCAGCGGGCGCGCTTCGAGTCTATGCAGCGGGGCTGCCCCAGAGGCCATCATGAATCTGCGTACGCCGCCTGTGTCTTCTCGGTCAAGTATGCTTGAGCTACCGCTTTGGGCGTTCCGTGCTTCCCCGCTCCAGCCTCCCTCGCTCGTTCTTCCTCTTCCTCCTCCTTCTCCTCCTCCTCTTCTCGTCTGCTTTCGTCTGTGTTCGTTTGACTTCTGGGACGTTCTTCGAGTAGAGCCAATGCTCAGTCTCTGCCGCGTTTGGCAGCGCGCCACGTGGTTTACTCATGAGGCGTTGCGGAGGCCCGTTTCTGTACGAGGGGAGGGGGAGGCCAGGGAACGTAGGGGAGGGGCGAGGGTAGATGTGCACGAGTGGCACGTGCGCGCCCATGTCCATACCCAGACGTCCCGCAACATGGCACGTATCAATCCGCGCCCCCGGAGGCCCCGACCCGGTGACCGAGGCCGCAGAAACAGGGCTGGGATTTCACGAAAGCGCGTCGTCCGTGATCTGGGCACACAGTTGAGCATCGTTTATCCGATCCCAATCCCCAGCGGCGTGGCCTGGGCCCACTGGCCGATTTACCCCCCTAGATGGGGATATAGGCCGTGCCCTTCGGGTTTCGAGGCGTGTATCCCCAACAGGGGTGGTAATTTGGTGGGGGTCTCGAAGGGGATGGGGATGGGGATGGGGATCGGTTAACCGATACCTAACAGTGAGCGTGCGGCAGCGCGGAAGCGAGCGGGGAAGCGCCCGAGCAGGCCAGGGCGGACGTGTGGCTGTCCCCCCCCGCTCTGGGCGCCACGAGGGCGAGCCCCCCCCGAGGCTCCTCGGGGGCTCCAGGGCGCCCCCCAAGGTTCGGCTGCCGAAACGAGGGCTCCCAGGAGGGCGCGAAGTTATTCGCGCTTCGCGCTTCGCCGTCCTCCTTCCTCCTCCCCCTCCTCCTCGTCCTCCTCTTCTCCCCCTTGGGGGGCGGCGCGAGAGCGCGACGTTATTCGCGTTTCGCGCTTCGCGCAGCGCGAAGCGCGAACTTAGGAGCCCTTGCCGAAGAGGGGTGAGGCAGATCTGTGTTCGCCGCAGTGGGGGGGGGGAGGGAGGGAGGCCTGCCCCAGGGCAGCTGGAAAGCTATGCCCCGACGTGCCACCGCAGGGATATGAGCTGTGTCCCTGGCAGCGGACGTCTGCGTCATGTTGCCCCTCGTCCGCTGAGAGGTGGTCCCAGCGTCCACCCACGATGTCCCAGGAGGGACTTCGGACAGTCAAGACCGCCAGGGCCAGCACCACAACGTGAAGCGGCCTCGGGACCTCCTGCGTGTCTGCACACGGTAAGGGATGGCGTCCAGAGATGGCCGTGAGATTGCCCGCGACGAGCCCAAGATGGCCCGAAAGATGTCCCGATTCGCCGTGGGAGGAGCGGTGATTCGGGGGGGGGCGACGTGGAGAGGGCGACTAAGGAGAGGGCGACGTGGAGAGGGGCGGACAAACGACGCGGAGAGGGCCACAAGGAGAGGGGAGGGCGACAGGGGAGAGTGGTGGGAGGAGAGGGGAGTGCGACGGGGGTGGGGCAGGGGGGGAGGAACGCCGTTCAGGGAACGATAGATTACAGGATGCGTGTACTAGATGCTCGGGTCTGACGCACGTCTCCAAGAAGGGTGCACGGTGCTGATATGTCCTACTACGTCCCAGGGAATGCTCTCGACACTACCTCCGCCCTCTCTGGTCCTGTTGCCTTGCGGCGTTGTCTGCAGTGACCGCGCCGCACGTTCGGCTCACAGCGCCTAGGCGCTGCAATATCTGACCGAGCAGGTTCCCTCGTTCTTCCCACTCCTCATCACTGTCCTGGTTGTCAGTTGCCAAGATCTCCAGGCTGCCTCTTAAGCAAGCTCTTGGTACCATGCCAAGGCCCCTGCTTAGTCTGTCGCGAGCCTTTTCATTCAAGCTGTTAGCACCATGGCCAGCCCTGCTCAGGCTGTTACAAAAACCTCTTCCTGCCAAGGCGATGAGCCACAGACCTCCAGCTGTCGCTGCTACCCCTTCCTGCCAGAGTACCGTGCTCCGATTTGGGCCACACCAGAGAGGCACAACATGCTCAGAGTCCAAGGGGTTCGTCATAGATGCCTCCCCCTGAGATCATGAGGTTACACCTCTTTGCCCCTGGCGTTTTCGCCCAGATAGCATTATCACACACTGGCCCTGCTAGACAAGGCAGCAGAAAGATTGGGCCCAGGGCAACTGTCTTGATTCTCGCCACGTTGCATGTGTTCCGAAACACCGGATCTCAGGGCGGGTGTTTTCGGAGGATTTGTCGGGTTCTTTCAGCTTCCTTCCAGGAGCGTCGTTGGGGGGAGCCCCGAGCCCGAATGACACCCGTGCTGAGTTGCGTTGTCGTGGGAGCCGTCCTGGGATGGATGGGCGCGGTCTTGGGGCCGTCTTAGACTGTGGGATCTTTTGGGCGTCAGGTAGCCTCTAGTTCAGAGCTTGGAGGGCGTCTCCTGCGGCCACACGCGGCCATCCTATAACAATGTGTGATCCATCCAGGGAGTCCAGTGCTAATACAGTCGACCCGCAGAGGAAGAATAGGCATCCCTCCCAAGGGTACCCTTGCATCCTTGCTTCCTGGGTCCATCCTTGGACACTTTCGTTGGCCGCGCCCCGCTGGAAATGCTTTGAAATGGGCGTCCAAGGCCTTGCAACCTTATCGCGCATCCTTACTCTGCGGGTTGAGTGTACAGAGAGTTCGATGAACGCCGTTCCAAGCATGCGCTTCCAATCGATGTTGGACATGCTATGATTAAGTCGGGCGTGTCCCTCCTCTACAGGAGGAATATTCAAAAATAGTCAAAAAGTAGTATGGGGGCAATTGTTTTTAATCATTGTTTGACAATTTAGGAGTAGTTTTTTGTATTTTCCATTCTTCGTCGAAAATCCCCCTGTAGGGCGACAGGCCCGACTCAATGCTATGAGCGTGTTGCAAAGGTTCTGGAAGGCCTCTCGGCACCCCACTGGGGGGCCTTGTGCGGACTGCCACCTTTGATCCGCCTCGGGCTGCCCTGGAGCCATTGAGGGCCAGTCTTGGGACCGTTTTGGGCTGTGCGTGGGCCTTCTTGGACAAGGGCGCCCTCGGGGGTCCGAAGTTATTCGCGCTTCGCGGTTCGGCGCGGATTCCTCATCCTCCTCTTCTCTCCTGGGAGGTGGCGCGAGAGCGCGAAGTTAGTCGCACTTTGCGCTTCGCGCAGCGCGAAGCGCGAAGTTGGGAGCCCTTGTTGGATTTCTCCGTGTGGCCTCTTGGACCGTTTGGAGGCCATCTGGGATGACGCAGAGACTATGTGAGGCCCTCGAGAGAAAACCGGAGGCTTCCAGAAGTAACCTTCGGCTGCAAATGATGGAGAGCAGTCCATGAAGCCAAACTGATTGCTTCGTGTTTTCGGCTTGTGAGCAGTCTGGGCTACCCTGGAGGGTTTCTGGGCACCTAGGATTACAGCGCTCGTCGGGGGGTGCCCAGGCACTCGTGGTGGGCTCTAGTAGGATGTGAGTCTCTGTGGAATACGTGAGGTGTTTCAGCGTCATGGGAGAATGAGAGAGAGAGAGAGACAGAGAGACGGAGAGAGCGAGAGAGAACAACACTCAGAGTTAACTAGAGATAGAGAGAGAGAGAGAGAAAGAAAGAAAGAGAGAGAGAGAGAGAGAGAAAGAGCGAGAGAGAGAGAGAATAAGAGAGAAATATATATATATAGAGAGAGAGAGAGAGACAGAAATTGAGAAAGAGAGAAAGAGAGAGAGAGAGAGAGCGAGGGAAGGAGGGACAGAGGGTGGGGGAAACGTGATTGGACCAGCGCTGGTCGTCCGACGTGTCTCTAAGGCCCCCAACCTCCCAGAACCAGCTTTTGCCCAGGGGGGCCCAGAGCCTGTCGGGAGAGCTCTGGCAGGTGATTCCACCTCAATGCCGCTCGCGAGACGCAGGAGCGGACACTGCTCGGGCCCTCCTGCAGCAGACCGCTGCCCGTGCAACAGCACAAGCAGAGTTCCCTTCTCCACCTCCTGCATGTACTCATGAGGAGGAGGCGGAGGAAGAGGAGGAGGCGGAGGAGGAGGAGGCGGAGGGAGAGGAGGAGGAGAAAAGGAGGAGGAGGAGGTGGAGGAGGAGGAGGAGGAGGAGGAGCAGCAGGAGGAGGAGCAGCAGGAGGAGGAGCAGCAGGAGGAGGAGGAGGAGGAGGTGGAGGAGGAGGAGAGCGGGGAGGAGGAGGAGGAGGAGGAGGAGGCGGAGGAGGAGGCGGAGGAGGAGGAGGAGGAGGAGGATCGAGGAGGAGGAGGAGGAGGAGGAGGAGGAAGGAGGGGGAGAACAGAGTCCACGGGGGGGGCCGCGTGCCTCTCAGGAGCCGTTCGACGGCCCTCTGCGGGCATCTGTTGGGCCTCTTCTGGTGGCCTCTTTTGGTGGCCTCTTGGGGGGGCCCCTTCGGCGCCTGCTGGCGGTCTCGGGCTCAGTCCAAAAATAGTCCCCAGACTATTCTCTTACTATTTCTGATGAGGTCCCCCTGTAGAGGGACAGGCCCGAGATGACCCGCAGCGCAAGCACTCCCTGTGGAACCATGACGTGGCACTCCCGGCCGATCGTGGAGGCGCCTCGGGCCTCGGCGGCACGATACTTTTGGGCGAGACCCACCTCGGGTGGAAGGTCCACGGGGCCCGTCGGGACCATGAGATGCAAAACTCGTCTTATGTTGCCCCCATCCTTAGTGGGCCCTGGAAACGACAGGGCCGTTTTTT